ACGGCAGCTTCTAAGCAGCAGCCGCTTCCAGCCTGTAAGTAAATGACCGGCGTCTTTCCGCCGTCCCTCGGTGACGTCTCCGAGTCCTCTGCTCGGTCCCCGCTACCAGGAGGGTGACGCTGGCCCGTGGAGGTGACTCGGCTTTTGCAAGGGTGCCTTTTGCAAACGGGTTACGCCATGCGAACGCCGCAGGCCGTTTTCTTGCCGCCTCCAACAGCCCTCTGCAAGGGGGGCCCCCAAAATCGTCTCCTCCTGCCCCGAAATCCTCGCTTCCTCCCTCGCCTAGAAGAGCTGAGGGCAGCTGCCTGCAGCGCAGCCGTATGCGCAGCCAGCTGAGATAGATAGACAGATAGATAGACGGCCTTCGAGCCTTGCGGACCCCCTACTTCACTGACGGCCCCTTCTGGCCAACGCGACCCTCGCGGAGGGAAATCGCCCGCCGACGCACGCGACTGCTACACCCCCCCCAAAAGACCCCTTCCCTTGAGCGCAGAGGAAAGCAGCGGCCAGGTCTCTACGCCGGCTCGCTGCCGGCACAAAACCCGCCGGTCCCAGCACAGGGGAGGGATCAGTGCAGAGGGGGCCAAGCACCCTAGTGCAGAAAGCGGCCTTTTCTTTTTCATGTACGGCAGCAGGAGCCGCTGGAGCAGCTCTCAGCGCGGCAGCCCGCTAAGCAAGAGGAGCAACCGGGAAAGCAAGAGAAAACGAAACCGCCGGAGCTGAGACCACGATCCAGCAACTTCCCACTCCCGGCAATGCATTTTGGGCCGTTTTATGACAAAGATTTCCAGGCTTGGCTAGTGGTCTTTTTTTTTTTTTTTTTTACTCCTACTGCGACATTTATCTCCGAGGTACATTAATGCAGGGTTTAACTGCCGCTCTCCCGCTGCGGGCTAGCGGCGATGTGGAGATTTATTTGCTGACTGGTGTAGGATTAAACATCCCGGTTTACAATTGCAGACACGTCCCAGGGGAACTGGCTCCAGAGCCGAAAAGCACGGGGAGGTTAACGGGAGCAGGGGGAGGCCTCTTACCTGCTCTAAAAAGTGATCAATAGCAATGCAAGAAAGCTGAGGAGTCTTGATGCAGATTAAATTATTGTTATTTAATAAAAGCATCGTCCCTAGGCAGCTAGCATTAAAAACACTGCCAGACCTGCAAGGGGCCGGCCTGACACAGCCCAGCTGTCCCTGACTTACTAATAGGTGGGGAGCAAGTTGTGGCTTTTTTTTTTTATTTTTCCTCCCCTTTAAAAAAATAATCTAAATTTTCCTTCCCTGGCAACAACTGTGTTCTAGGCTTACGCTAAGTCCTGCCTGGCCTAGACCTAAGCCACGTGAAAACAAACCAAAACAACACAGAGTCCCCTACGCCCGAGCTCACGCAGCTGGGTACCTAAAGGGGGTGATGGGGCACCTGGCTTGTACGCCAGCACGCCAGACGTTCCCTCCGTTACAGAAACGGCTGCGAGGCTGAGCCCTCCAAGCAGGCCGGCGGAGGAGCAAGAAACAGCTGCTGTGGCACGCGGATTTTCACAGCACGTTCGCTGGCCTATGGGAGCCGGGATTTTTCGCTAGCTTAAAAAACTTGGGTTTTTTAACCCGCTGAACCACTCGGCGCCGACTGCCGCGGGCTAGAGAGGAGAGCTTTAAAAGGGCGAAAAAGGGTGGATGCGTAGAGGGCTGAGCCACAGTGAGGAAGACACAGCTGGAGTAGCAAAACCGTTCAGAAAACACGCTTTGGAGGGAGGCAGCGGGGAGGTACGGCCGCTGAGCGGCCGATAAAGGGACAAGGAGACCACAGGGCACGCGCCCACCAAAGTCCTTTCTTCCTACGACCCTGACCCGTCACACGGATAAGCACGAGAAGCACGAAACAGAAAAGGGAGGACTTCTTTTTTCTCCTTTCCTTTTCTTTCCTCACCAACCAGCCTTCCCTCCCCGGCAAGCAGCTGGCTCTCGGCTGCTGCGTGACCGAACGCAAGAGGGGCGCGAGCGAGCGCTCTTCCAGCCCCGCCAGCCCATGGGGCCCGAAACCTGAGCTGTCGAAACCAGAGGAGATTTTCACTGAGCCGTTTAACCCGCTCTTTGACGCTCAGGAGAAAGGCTACTTGAATCCTTCCTAGCACCAGAGCCCTTCTAGCCGCAAAAAAATATCCGTCCAGGAATGCGAGATACAGGCCCAACAAGCCCATGTTTTAAAACAAGACACGGGTATGTTTTCAAGCTGTCCTTCGGTTCAGCCTACACTTGAGCAACGCCAGGGTAATTTGTTATGACTGAGGATTTTTATCAGTTCAGTAACTCCCAAGCTGTGGTGCTATGCTACTATAAACTTCCCTGACCAAATCATTTCAGCCTCTCAGCCCCAGAAACAGCTGCACGATATGAAGAAAAGGGACCGGGAAAGAGAGCCACACGGGAGAAAAGGAGAGCGAAGAGCCAGAGGAAGGACTGGGATACCTGGCTGCACACTCCGATTGCCAACTCAGTTAGCGTCATGCGTTAGTTCATCAGTGTGTTTATTGGCAACAGAGCTCCACTTAAAAGCCTGTAGCGACTCTTCTATTTACCTCCAGGAAGAGCAGCCTGATTTTCCCTTGCCTTCCATTAAGGGGCAGAGCAGCTAAGTGAGACCATTGCCTCATGGCTGTCAGAGCATTTCCCATGGGATAAAGCATCATTGAACCTCTCCTCCCTCGAAATTTGCAGCCTCGACACCGCAGAGCAGCAAGATTGGCCCGTTTCCCTGAGAGATGGAAGCCAGCCTTGCATTTTTGGGAAGTATTGCGCAGCCAACAGGAAAACCACTTCTCTCACAGCCCGCTGGAGAGACAAACATTTTCCCACAACAGCCTCTAACCAAAACAGGTTATCATAGCTGAAAGATTTTCCTCAGATGCTCATGCAGAAGAGCATATGAGATTCACAGGAGCTGTTAACCCACTCATTAGGCATGTGTATCAATTAAATACTCCAGTGAGACTGAAGTGCAAATAGACAAGATGACGCACAAGTTCCCGTTAGCCATTTACCCTGGCAGCAAGACTGCATTCATCATGGTCTTGACCACCTGCGTGTCAAAGCAGCCCCTACTCCATTCATACACAGCTGCCACACTCATTTGCTCCAGGCTCAAGCCTTGCCTAAGGGTCATAGCCTCCTAGAACCAGCCAAGCAGGCAGGTAGGAGGCAAGCTGCTTTCAGTCACACTTTGCAGCTCTGCTAAGTTTTAAGCACTTTTGACTTACTGGAAACGGGAGTAGAAACTGTATATAGCTGCAGTATAAACTGTAGGGTACTTAGCACCACACAGCTAGCTCAGGAGCCACACAGACACTGCTCTGCCCATGCTAACTTACTCTGGTGAGAAGCAAGTGTGTCACCAGCCAAGCGCCTGCTTGCTCTCGCCATCCTTTAAAGCTATCAATTTCTAACTGAGGTGCAATGAATGGGAGAGGTAGGATCACACCCTCATCACCTGGCCTGGTTAAACCAGCCCTCTGTAAGAGGACTCAGAACTGGCTCACAGCGAGTTTATCTGGACTTTGAACATATCTCCCCTCTGCCTTTCAGCTGCTTCCGGATGGGGGAAGCTTTCATCCGCATTGCACAGGTTACACCAAAATAGTATCACAGCCAGAAGTACAGCTGGCTCAAGACCCTTTCTTGTGAAAGCTAAAGGAAATACATATGTAAATTAAGTTCTCACAGAACTAAAATAGGGTGTGTTTAAAACAGATGGTAACCTCAGCGGTAACTGTTCTGGGCACACTCTGCTCCCACCTCCACAGGCAGCATCTCACTCCTCCCACCCTGCTGCCTCCGCTCTATCTTACCCCTGCAGCAACCTACCCTACCTCAACCCTCCAGCAGCAGCAAAAACCTGATAAAAGTCAGCCAAGATGCTAAAAGTCCACTCAAGTTCAAGGCTTGAGGCCTCATATATCAACAGCTAATGAGTGGGTCAAACCCCTCCCCTTTAGATACCTTCATCTCCTATAGCACTACCACTGTAGTAGAAAATGATAGCTCATGGCTTGCAATCCAAGGCAATGACCCCTTAAATAAGGCTAGTTTTGCTCTGGGCAGGCACGCATAACCTTATTGTCAAGTGTCAGCAGCAACACAAACCCCCCTTTTCCCAATTTAGGCTACATGAAAACATTTGTATGCCTTTATTCAATCCAGACTGCCACAAGACCAGACAGGTAGAAAGCGCAAGGAATTCATTACTGTTGCATCTCAGCAAGAACCAGAAAAGCAATGGACATTTGCTCCAGGTCTGTCAAACAGATGCATTTTCCAGGGGGAACACAGCAGGAACAGTAAATTATAAATATTCAGGTAAATCTGAACTCCAGACATGCCCCTTCTTTGAAGCTAATAATCCCAGGAGAGCTCTATGCCCTTCAGCCATTTCTCTCCCTCAAGAGAGGGCAAGGGCAGAAACTCAAAATCCTGTAACTTGGATGAGCTCTATTTAATCCACTCCTGAATATTTGCCAAATACAAAAGGAGCTAGTGCCACAACCAGGCTAAATGGTGGAAAACCTAGTAATTCCCCCCCCCCCCCAACCACGTTCCCACTACCTGTGCTCAGAGGCAGAGTGCTGGTGTTGGACTCTTGCTCCAAGATTAAGGGAGGATGATGGATGAAGTCATACTATAACTGAGGACAGACTCAAATATCCTTGTCTGATAAAGAAGCTCAGCCAGCACTCAGCTTGAATAGCACATATTCCATTTTGGTTTTTTTTATTAATTTTGGTATCTCTTCCAGAGAGAGAAGTCTCTGTACAATCGTGAGAGATGAAGAAGGTCCACTTCATTATGATGACATTTCTTGGAGCTTTGCCTTATTCACCTCAGCCTGCTCTTGCACTCCAATGCCACAGGTAGAAACTGCATGAAGTCTATCTGAAGACAGTCAAGTTGTAGTGAGCTAGGACCAGGCTATACTATTGACAGTTATCAGATCCTTGGACAAAGATCTTGCAGCAACCTGTCCTGTAAAGTCACCTTAAGAAACACACTAGACCAAGAGGCATCACCTAGAATGGGTTTAAATGAGTTTTATTTTAGACAACCTACATGACAGATGTTTGGTTTTGTTTTGTTTTTTAAAACAATGCCTCCACTCCAAATCAGGGTCAAAATAAGTGAATAAAGCTCAGGATGACATCAGTCCAGTTGTTAGACATTGCTGAGTCCTGGTGTTGTGCTGATGAAGAAGTAACAGCAGCCAGCTATGAAGACAGGTGATCCAAAATCATACTGTTTGGTTTGTTACTGTAACAAGAGTAGCAATTGTTACTTAGAGATCATGACAATTGTGGTAAGTTTCTGCAACTTATTTGTGTGTTCCCTAATTCAATCTGAGCTGCCACACAGTCAGGCAGGCAGAAAGCGCAAGGAAGTTATTTTTGCATCTCAGTGCAAACCAGAGAGCAACAGGAAAATTGCTCATGGTCTATCAGAGGATGCTGACCGCTTTTACGACCATGCAGAGCAACTAAAAATCAGCCTTTGATCAAGCCAGATGGAACGCTCATTCACATCATTCTTGCTTGATACACCAAGCTTCAGATTTCCTTTCAAATAAGAGCGTGTCCTGAACAGGTATTAAAGCTTATGATATACATGCTGCCTCTTATGCGAGTTGTATCAAGCAGCTATAATAGTTCTTTCCACTGGAATGACCTGCTGCTAATCGTTTAACTCATCCAAAAGTAAACGGGGACATCTTAATTGAACATCCAAAAGGTCTGCCCAAGTATGAGAGGCACACAAGCTTCTGCTCAGAGGAAATACTTTTAGGTTACTGCCTGTTCTAGGGACCGTGACAGACACCTCACTTCAGTCAGGCTGCAGGAGCTGGTATGTCTTTTTTTTGCCAATAAAATTATGTTCCTCTAGTGGCTTATTGTGTCAAATTAGAAGTTTGTTTGTCTTTAGATGACTTGCATACCAAAAAGCTTAGAAGATGCTTACTGGTAACAGATAAATTTAGCTGGCTATAAACAGGCTTTGTAAGTCTGCAATAACTGGGCAAGGCAAGACTGGTGATCCCACACTGCTAGTCACCAATGAATGATATAGCTCTCAGAATAAGCCAGAATATTCAAGTATTCAAAATGTGAATACTGTTTCATTGCAACCACATTCAAATCCAAAATACTTCAGAGAAAGCAGACAAGACCTGTCTGAGCTCAGACAGTTGGAGCTTCCAGGTAAAAGAAGGTTAAGTACTCCATCAAGTATCACCGTGTTCCCAAATTTAGCGCAATATTAAAACAGACGGTTCTTGCATAACAAAATAAGGGCATCATCAGATTAAGTGAAAGAGGATGGAACACAGTCATTTAAGGTGCTCCGTAACTAACCTACACAAGAGGAATTCAAAGTAGAAGTGCTCCATTTCAGAGGACATCGTCTTTAAACTAACAGCTTAAAACCATTGCCGGTTATACATATCTCGCCAAGGTGGCTCTTTCTGCATTTCTTAGCCATTAAGTCACTATAAATCACTGCAGTGAAAAATATGTCCCCCTTTACTATAATTTTGTAGTATAGAAAGGAAGTTTCAGCCACTTCACATATACAGCAACAATTAAGATTTAAAAGTAGTTACTAGTTTGAAAAACTTAAACAGTCTAACAGGAACACAGTAAAACAAGTGATGAGTTGAAAAAGTTAACCATGTAGTTAAGCACATTCATTTGATTTAGGTCAGTACTTACACATTTCTCTATTTCTAAGCCATCCTTAAAGAAAATCATATATGGAGTCACGCCATCCTCACGGAAATCCAGCAGAGCCACCATGCCATCTGGATTCATGTTCTCACCTACAAAAAACTTCAAAGAAACGTGTTGCTGAGACATTCAATGAGTTATTGCAGGAGACGGTGTCCTATCACACAAGGAAGCTAATCTACTTCCAAGTTCACCTTAAGAGTCTCCTTGACCAGCTGCAGGGATTTTACTTTCTGCAACTTGTAGCCTCAAGTCCACTTCAGCACCATACAACATTAACATACTGTTGTAAACAGCAGAATAAGATAGAGCAGGGGCCTAAGTGACCTGTCTGTCAAGTCTTTACATCTTCACAGTTGCTAAATGCTGATAACTACAAATGGGAAGCAGTGTTGAAAGCTAGCAGCTGACTCACGAACCTCGAAGCCGTTCAGTGTTTCTCCTCCCTACCTCTCAGGGCTCTAATACTCTGAGAGGAGGGTACCTTAGATGCCCTTACAACAGGAGCCCTCAAAATCCAACAAGCTAGGTCAGCAACTAATCCACTTTCAGCTCATATCACTGCAATACTGCTTTAAGTGGACATAAGCTTTTTTACCTGGTAGTTTTTGAAGTTAGCAAGGATGTGTTTGATTTGTTCTGCAGCCCCTGTCATGAAAGGCTTTACTCTCTCTGGCTTATGTTCCTCAAGTCTGGCTTTGATTCTAGGAGAAGAAAAAGAATTTTCTTTGAAAACATCTTCTAGCCTGTTAACTTCACTGTACAGCATCACTTCATACCAGAAATAGAGTCACCAGCAGTGAAACTGTTCAGTTTGGCTATGCTTCCCCCATCCCTCTAAGAGCCCCCAAAATTTCAACCTTGCCTTGCTAGAGAATTAGCAGATCAGTGCCTGCCACTCGCATCAGGCTCACTTTACACTTAGATTAGTGCTAGATAGATGTTAGCAAGTCATTTGCACAGCAGCAAGAGTACTGATCACGGTAACAGAGAAGGTGTCTTCACCTCACTTTAAATGAGAGGTGAGCAGAAGAAATTGTACTTTGAATTTCATACACGTTATCCTGGACATTTAAAGCACTGAGTTAGGCAAGTTTCTGGAAACTTTTGTTGCCACCGTATCCCCCTCCACATGAGGGTTTGGCATCAAGGAATCAGAAAGACAACAGCCAGCTTACAAATAATATCCAAAGCACATGACCGAGTCCTGCACTGTAATTCAGCCAAGATAAACTTAGATATTCCAGTATCAATTCTTTATTGCTCCAGTTTTGCCAAGTATTAAGACATTCCTGAAGTTCACAGACAGTTCGGCACTTGCATCACAACTAACATCTACTAGGGATAAAGTTCACCAATGCTGTTTTTAAAATCTTGACGACCTAGAAATTTTGCAGTCTGGTTTAAAGGAAAAAAAAAAAAAACTACTGGCACTTACGCTTTCATGTAGTCCTTGATGTACTTCTTGTATGATTCTTTTGTAAAGCTGGTTTCCTGAAGATGGTGGTTTATTACTATATCAACACCAGTTATGACCGTGGCTTCTGTTCCATCTCCCTCAGGACCTTCAGCAGAGGCATTGCCACCAATTAGAGAGTCATCAATTTGACCCTCTGTCCTGGTGACCATCTAGATTTAGAGACATCAAAAAACTTAAAGGCTCTGCACAAACCTTGAGGCGACTGCTCTTACGCATCTACGACCTGGCAGCAGGGCACGGCGCCAGAGCCACAGCTAAGCCAAAGGAACCTGACGGCGGCCCCGATTTCCGACAGGCGCGTTGCTCTCCTGGCGTCTGACCAAAGCTTCCTGAACGCCCCCGCCAGC